GATATGTGGGGGTGTGTTAGAACGAGCCGTTTTAGGGGTGTGTGGCAGAGTCTTAACTTTGATAAAGAATATCTCTTGAGACTTGAGACTTTAGTCTTTGCAAGTTCAGGGATCTTATCTATGCACAATCAGCTTGTAACACTCAAAGGAAAACTTCTTTCCTCTAAATTTTAAGTTTAGATCTTGCAAACTTGTGACTTTTTCCTCTAAATTTTAAGTTTATATCTTGCAAATTTGTGACTTTTGCCCTCTAAATTTTAAGTTTAGTTCATGCAAATTTGTGACTTTTATACCTCTAAATTTCGATATCTTGCAAATTTGTGACTTTTTTCCTCTAAATTCGGAGTTAAATCTTGCAAATTTGTAACATTTCCCTCTAAAGTCTGAGTTTAAATCTTGCAAATTTGTAACATTTCCCTCTAAATTTTGAGTTTATATCTTGCACATTTTTAACATTTCCCTCTAAATTCTGAGTTTTAATCTTGAAAATTTGTAACATTTTTCCTCTAAATTTTGAGTTTATATCTTGCAAATTTGTGACTTTTTTTTCTCTAAATAGTAAGTTTACATCTTGCAAATTTGTAACATTTCCCTCTAAATTCTGAGTTTAGTTCATGCAAATTTGTGACTTTTATACCTCTAAAGTTTGAGTTTAAATCTTGCAAATTTGTGACTTTTTTCCTCTAAATTCTGAGTTTAAATTTTGCAAATTTGTAACATTTTTCCTCTAAATTCTGAGTTTATGTCTTGCAAATTTGTGACTTTTTTCCTCTAAATTCTGAGTTTAAATCTTGCAAATTTGTGGCTATTTTTCCTCTACATTCTGAGCTTATCTCTTGCAAATTTGTGACTTTTTTTTCTCTAAATAGTAAGTTTACATCTTGCAAATTTGTAACATTTCCCTCTAAATTTTAAGTTTAGTTCATGCAAATTTGTGACTTTTATACCTCTAAAGTTTGAGTTTAAATCTTGCAAATTTGTGACTTTTTTCCTCTAAATTCTGAGTTTAAATTTTGCAAATTTGTAACATTTTTCCTCTAAATTCTGAGTTTATGTCTTGCAAATTTGTGACTTTTTTCCTCTAAATTCTGAGTTTAAATCTTGCAAATTTGTGGCTATTTTTCCTCTAAATTCTGAGTTTAAATCTTGCAAATTTGTGACTTTTGCCCTCTAAATTTTAAGTTTAGTTCATGCAAATTTGTGACTTTTATACCTCTAAATTTCGATATCTTGCAAATTTGTGACTTTTTTCCTCTAAATTCGGAGTTAAATCTTGCAAATTTGTGACTTTTTCCCCTCTAAATTTTAAGTTTAGATCTTGTGACTTTTTCCTCTAAATTCTGAGTTTATATCTTGCAAATTTGTGACATTTTCCCCTCTAAATTTTAAGTTTAGATCTTGTGACTTTTTCCTCTAAATTTTAAGTTTATATCTTGCAAATTTGTGACTTTTGCCCTCTAAATTTTAAGTTGATATCTTGCAAATTTGTGACTTTTTCCCCTCTAAATTTTAAGTTTAGATCATGCAAATTTGTGACTTTTATACCTCTACATTTTGAGATTACATATTGCAAATTTATGAATATGTTTCCTCTAAATTTAAAGTTGATATCTTGCAAATTTGTGACTTTTTTCCCCTCTAAATTGAGTTCACTTGCAAATTTGTGACATTTTTCCCTCTAAAATCTAAGTTTACATCTTGCAAATTTGTGACCTTTTTCTACTATAAATTCTAAGTTTGCCTCATGCATATTTCTTTACTTTTTTCTTCTAAATTCTGAGTTTACATCTTGCAAATTTGTGATTTTTTTCCCGATACATTTTGAGTTTACTTATTGCAGATTTATAACTTTTCCCTCTAAATTGAGTTTACATCTTGCAAATTTCTGTCTGTTCCTCTAAATTTTGAGTTTACATCTTGCAAATTTGTGACTTTTCCTTCTAAATTCTACGTTTGCAACTTAGAATTTAGAGGACAAAAAAAGTTTATTGTCCTCTAAGAAAAAAAAACTTTTTACCTCACTTCTCACAAAAATTCTTTTTTTTTTATGATATGGTGGAAACGGTCTTCCATAGCAAAATCTCATTCGCCCTAATTTTTTTTTTTCTTTAAGCCACATTAATTTTTTTCTTGTTTGATTATCATTTTGATTTTGGAAATATGACCTGGAGATTCCTTGACTGTTTTATCTGAATGATATGAAGTGTAGAGTGCTTCATTGGTCATAATGAGTGTGTCAATTTTGCAGTTTTCACTGTAGACACACACTTTTATGTGTGTATCTTCATTGTCCAATCTCATGGTTGTGTGTGTGTGTGTGTTTGGTCAGCGGGTGGAGGACACTCTTCAGAAGCTGGAGGCTGAGCTGGCTCTTCTGCTGGACGCTGTTGAGGCCCCTGAGTGGAGCCCCCTGCTGGACAAACCCCTCATCGACATACTGGACGAGCCGCCGGCAACAGACTCATGAGAACATAATGATCATCAGAGGTGTGTGTGTGTGAATCTTACAGACTGTCATAAAATAAATGTTTCAGGTTTACAGAAGCTTTAAGAGGTTAATGTTCTTAAGGCTTTCCTTTTTTTTTTTTAACCAATGAATCTGCAAGATTTTTCCATTTTTATTTAGTGGATAAGGATACTTTTCCAAATAGTACTTTACCAAATTTATATTTAAAAAAAGTGTCTGTGCAGCATGAAAGATTTTCTGGAGATTTTCTACAGCAATGAGACTTAAAATGTGCTTGTCATGAAAATAACATCACAATGCTAAAAACAAAAATAAATGAGTAATTTTCTTTATGAAAAATATAATAAATACAATTTCTATTTTGATTCCAGGGTTAAATATGATCCAGACATTTCTTCACACGACAATAACGGGACAGAGCTGATCATTTAGTTCTGATCCTATAATGAGTCAAAACAGGGTTTATTTTTAAGCTTTTCACATTAAAATTAAATGAATCATTTATACCATTTTACTGAGTGTCAGTGGTTTCTTCTAGCGTTTGTTTAGAACTGATGATTTAAGGAACCACTGATGATGTTCCCATAATCAATCATTGTATGCATGCGAATATACAAAAATAACACATAAGATGTTTACAGTGTACATTAATTTTTCTGGGTTCTCTTTACTTCATTATATCCAGTTGCCTGTTCAGACTCCCAGCAAGCATTGCTCTTATGTGCTGTTGCTTCTGTTGTTAGTTTTAGTAACTTGTTTTGTTGTGTTCAGAGTTTGTCATTTTGTTTTAATGCACTGCATCTCACTAGTCTCTCTATGCTAGAATTACTGTCATAAAATCATTTTTCACATTATGATCTGACTGATTCATGTTGTCATGAATATGCGCTGACTTGGAATGTTAATAAACTAAAAAAAAAAAAACTAACACCAATTTTTGACATCCAACTCAAACTGTGTCCAAAAAAAAATGTTGTCTTAAATTTTTTCCCTTCTCTTAAAACAATTTTTTTTTTGGAATAGAGAAAAAGGGTTTTTAAAGGGACAAAAAAGTTTTTGAATAGAAAAAAAAATTGAAGGGAAAGAAATTTAAGAGAACGTTTTTTGAATAGAAAAAAAAAATGAAGGGAAAGAAATTTAAGAGAACGTTTTTTGAATAGAAAAAAAAAATTGAAGGGAAAAATTTAAGAGAAAAAAGGTTAAGACCACCAAAAATTGGGAGAAAAAAATTCTGATGTATAGAGAAAAAAATCATAAGATTTAAACTGATACACATGGATCTAAGACATTTTTTTTCATGTTGTGGTCCAGGTCTTCTCAACTATTGGGAACTACTAGTGAGAAAGTGAAAACTCCCTACTCTAAAATTACAAAACATAAACACTATTTCAAAACACGATTACAAATATGCAACATCATAGTACTTTTGCAAATATGACTTTACCAAATTTAATATAAAAAAAAAAAAAAATAGTATTTTTTCTATAAAGTTTGCACTGATCTCATGTTACTGAACAAAACAGATTCAGAAACTCAAGCTAGAATGACTCTGAGCTTTCAGTGACTTTCTGGAGGATTTGTAGTGAAATGTTTCTTTCTTCTGTATGTTTGTGTCACGTTCAGCAGCAGATGGTGTGAATCGGAGCAGATGGAAGGAGAACATGTTTATATAGAAGCAGGAAACACAAACATCTTGTTGCTTTGCTGACATTTTCAACCTCACATGATACAGACACACACTTCAGTTTGACTAATACATCCACACACAAACACAATTCCCATACAGAAAAAATCTTTTTTTTTCTTGTATATATACACTCACACATACACACGCTCACACACACTCACACAAACTCACACACACACTCAATTACACTCACACATACACACGCTCACACACACTCACACACACACACACACACACACACACACACGCTCACACACACACTCTCTCACACTCACTCACTCACACACACACACACTCACACTCGTTTGGATTAGAAATGGCTATGCAAATGGTACAAAAGCTTTGGCGTTTTTGCCTACAAGTTGTTCCTGCACACTTGAGAGAGATTTTAAACAAGACGACGCTTCGTAAAACCTCTCAGTATCGTATCGTCTATATTTAAACTCGTTAATGTCAGCACATCCACATAAAACTGTGGAAAATACTGGGCTTTTCACTATGTACATGTTTACATGATGAAGCGGTGAGTTTACGGTAATGATTCGCTACACGTGTGCCGACGTCACTTACTGAATTAATGCTACGCTAAACACACACACACACACACACACACACACACACACACCCCTATAA